AGAGAGAGAGAGAGAGAGAGAGAGAGAGAGAGAGAGAGAGAGAGAGAGAGAGAGAAACAGAGAGAGAACAAGAGAGAAGACAATTTCCTAAATATGTACAATTGTTTTCGAGATACCTGTCTCGTTTCACGTCAAGGGTCGTGTCTGGCAGGAATGCGACTGTGGAAATATCGTTTGACCGCATAAGAGACCTCGAAACGAACTGACAAGTCATCCTGCGATTTTCGATCACCACTCTCGTCCATTTGTTCTTATTTTTACCGGCAGTAATCGATCAACCGTTAAAAGAATCTGTGGAAAATCCAAGATTCGAGGTAATTTCTTCCACCCTCTGTCTACTCATCGTCGTGCCTGATGGCTCTTTTTACTCCATGCGCCTTCCTTTCTCCGTAAATCGAAAGATCGACTGCAGCTAATGACAGTCATCCAGCTAATCCATTATTCTATTCGACAACGGTGATTCGACCATACGAGAGAGAAAGAGAGATCGCGCGTGAGATTCTGCACGAAATTCGTAACTCTTAGGGGAGAGATTTAAAGGAGAGAGTACGGAAGAACGATAGAAAGGGATGGGAAAAGGACGGGAAAAGGACAGCCAAGGAAGTCGTAGGGAACGATCGCCGCGATCGCGATTCGTCGAAAATGTTTACCCTCTCCTACAGCACACCCTTCGAAATCTATGCCACCCTCGGCGTACTCATTCAAGAAAGAAAAATAAAGCGGACCACACGCACGTACACACACACACACACACACACACACATGACGCACAAACGCACTCGCATAGCGATATAATCATCGAAGGTGATCATACACGCGTTTCCTGAATCTAGTCGACGTAGTCAGGGCTGCGCGTTTACGAGCCGTGTCCTCGCGAGGGGCGCTGATTGATTTTTACATCTACATCTGTCTCGCGGCGGTCCCGATCTCCCCCGAACCGGATCGTTCCGCTCTTAAACCATCCCCGTCGTTCGTCCACGCAATGGTACTCACGACGTGCTTGCGACGCTCCCGCAGCCGCTCTCCTCGAGCTGCTCGCACTTCCTCCCCTGGGCGTTACTCGACGGCGGTGGCGGCGGTGGCGGCGGCGGACCAAGACTCGGCTGTGACTACTTGCGGATCTGCGACACGGTCGATCCTGCGTATCGTGCAATAACCGCGAGAACGACGAGCGATCACGAGCGGTTTGCGAATGCCCGCGGCTTTACAGGTGCATCGCGCCCCGGCGCTCAGCGTCGTTCGACGGCGTTCGACGAGCGGAAAATCTCTATCCCGTGCGCTCCGGCCTCTCCGCGACGACGACGACGACGACGACGGCGACGGCGGCGGCGGTAGGACGAGCCGAGTGCGCCTGACCGGTGCTGGCGGACGCGAACATGGCCGACGTAACGAAATCGATAAAACACGCTTTACGTTTTCCGGTGTTTCGACTCTCGGAGCCGACGCTCTGCGTCGCTCTCGCGCCCCCGCAAGCCCCCGCGAGCCCCGCCGCGGGCCCTCGCGCGAACGTACGACGCGACGGCGACGCCGAAGGAGCGGAGCGCCGATGACGTCATCGAGGCGCGCGCGGATGTTCGATGTGTGAAACTGCACTTTTCTGAAATATCACCGCCACGATGACGCCTGGCGTCGCGCGGTGACGTTGGCATCGATAATCGTAATCACCGGTCATTTCTCGCTTACTCCGCGGCGTAATGAGATAGCACGAAAATCCAAGAGACGTGCGATAAAGGACTTCCTTCAGCAATGTTGGCCGCAATGACGTGTGATAAGATCTCTCACTGGAGACCAGCGTCGCATACGTGGGCTGACGACAAACATTTCTATGTCCGCATCATCAAACAAAGTCTGTTTACGCGATTACGTAAAAAAAAGAGAGATATGAGGTGAGTTGTGGGGAGAGTTCTCTAAATGAGCCGTGATAGTAAACGTTAAGATGGGGAGCGATTGAAGGTCATTTTTCAAATGTTGCTTTTCGCCCTTACATGCACACAAACGCACTCACGCATACACACGCAGCACATATATTCGGAGAACATGAGTCCGCGATGCAATTTGCAGGATCAGAGAGAACGCTTCTCCTTCCACGCATCATTCCCCTTCAATTGTGATTATTCGGTTGGGCGTAAATGAAAGGAAAGTCCGAACTATATTGGTGTTCTTTCTACTGAGTTTACGAATCGCAAGACCATAGGACGCATCATTTGATTTCGCGCCGCAAATGTCGCGGCTTAAACGCTTGCTTAGGTTCGCACTTTGTAAATACAGAAAAAAAATCATCAATATGCTTCGAGCTTTCCTTTCATCGACGGATCTGGGGCTCGATTCTCTAACTAGTTGCGTATACGTAAGTTTTACTGCGCAGCTATTTTATGGTATGATTAAACCTGTGCAGTAAAACTTACGTATACGCAACTAGTTAGAGAATGGAACCCCTGGCCCTAAATTCAAATCTGAATATCTCACCTGTGACAAGTTTCAAATAACGACTATTAATATGGATCTTAGAAACTTTGAATATGACCCAAGGAGTAAGACCTCAAAGTTAGAAAGTTAAAATTTCCGCGCATTTGACTAAAACGTAATCTACTTTCTTGCTGCTTAAAATTAATTAATAAAATGGAATGCAAAAGAGATATATCATCTAGTAGCAGTCGGACTGTCAATGCGCTAGCAAACATCAAGTAATAGTTATATATTTGAATGGAGTCTATAAATAAAATATAAAGACTTTTCGAGTAGCTCGCATCAACGTAGCTTCACTTATTGCCGAGATTTTCGTCATAAAAATTCGTAATTGATCGATGAAAAATGTATCTACTCTGCATGTCATCAAGTAAACATCAAATGTCGGTGGCAAGGACCAAATCTAAAGTCAAAGCAACTTATAGACGTGCGACTCGCTTATTAGCGTTGTAGTATGAGTTGCTATTGGTTTTTATGAGCTATTAATTACAAGAGTTACATAAGAGCGACGAAAAATTGTCGAGTCGCCGAATATACACAATTTAATTCAACATCATGCAGGTTGTTGTCCTACCTTGTTCTGCGTCCTTAATCCTAGCTTCCCAGACGAACATCCTGACTCCCGGCTGCTTCGTCGTGGAACTCCAGATATTCCAATGCAGCAAAAACACGAATACGACGAACGCGCGACACATTTTTCGAAACTCCCGACTGCCCATTTCGCGACGCACTTATACTGAGCCGCTTATTTGACGATATCTCTCTCTTTCGTTGCGACAAACGCGCGGATCTTACTTTCGGCACTGTCAGCGATGATTTCGCTGCGAAACTCGCATCCGACGAGCCGGAGTCGCAGAAATGGGATGATTCATAGAATACGTTATTCCTGCCGCGTCGCGATCCGTTTGCACCAGTGCTGCTACCTCCTGAGGATAATTCGACCGGCCCGCCAATGGTAGGCGAGCAAATAACTGGTCTAAGGGATCATTAGACCCGTTATTCCTTCGTGTGACGGACAAATCAGTTCCAGAGTCTCTGCTACGAGCCGCCACTTTCCTGAATGAGAAATTGAAATCATGTTGTTATGTAAATGAAATTATTTTGTGTGAAAAATAGTAATTTCAAATTACTAATGTATCGACCAATAAACTATTTTGGACTTAGACTTGATTGAGGCCATAATACTACAGAATCAAGTAGTACTTAACGACGACCTTCTTCTTATGGTGTCATTATAAAAAACAGACATAACGCTTTTGAAGAAGAGTTGACAAACACACTAGATAGCACAGAGAATTCAAAAAGAATTCAAGAAGGATTCAGTCGTATGTCACCAATTCTGAGTTCATTTTCAAAAAGAATTCTTCAGAGTTCAGTTCAGTGAAAAGAATTCTTTTTGCAACTAAAAATGAATTCAGAATTGGTGACATACGACTGAATTCTTTTTGAATTCTCTGCGCTATCTGGGACAGAAAAGACTCGAACACATATAGCGCATAATATACTTTAATATAGGGCATACATATAGCGCGTAATATACTTTAATATATGTGTAATTTAATTTTTGGCTCTATATACTAACGTATGTGAGTGCATATATCAAATGAATATTTTTACATCGGGTAGAATAACGATGAACTGTATAAGATAAATTTTGGAGGAGCGCGGAAAGGGAGAAATTACACGCGCGCGAGGAATAATTACGGAAATTTAATTCGCGCGCAGCTAAATAGCCCCTGTAGGCAACTTACAATATTGATGATCGCGATAGAACGTAATGTCGGAGCTTTATATAGCGGCTCTCTACGCCGGCTATGAATGAAATAAAATTACATTAAGGGCGAATCATGGCAGCTTATGCGCTGTGAACTTTTTATCTACGACATGTAATAAATAAGTATAATTAACACGTTCGCTATCAGCGCTACACAGATGTGACAGCAAAAAATTGTTCCTATGATTATCTCTTACCTAAGTTTGCTTTATACAATTACATAAAAAAATATGAGCTGATTTGTGAGGGAAGCCTCCAAAATAAATCCCAGTACTCTCTTAAACTGAATCAGTGAAACATCATTGAAAGCAGTAAATATACTGATTTACAGCTATGCTGAAGTACAGCACTGAAACTGCTCAATGCTATACTTATAACTGATATCAGTGACTACTCACTGATTCACTTTAAGAAAGTAGGACACGTATTAATTTTTGCTAAGGAAGAACTCGTCCCCAAAATTTTTCAGGATATCTCATTACGCGGGGTATATGTGTAATCATGCACTTCTAAATATACCACCCTAGATAGCACAAAGAATTCAATTGTATGTCACCAATTCTGAATTTATTTTTAGATGCAAAAAGAATTCTTTTCACTGAACTGAAAAATTCTTTTTGCATCTGAAAATAAACTCAGAATTGGTGACATATAACTGAACTTTTTTTCTTAATTCTTTTTTAATTCTCTGTGCTATCTGAAGCGTTACAGCATACTCGATTAAAGCTTTCCCAGATAGCACAGACAATTAAAAAAGAATTAAAAAAGAATTCAGTTGTATGTCATCAATTCTGAATTCATTTTTAGATGCAAAAAGAATTCTTTTCACTGAACTGAACCCTGAAAAATTCTTTTTGCATCTGAAAATAAACTCAGAATTGGTGACTTATGACTGAACTTTTTTTTAAATTCTTTTTTAATTCTCTGAAGTATGCCCGACTAAAGCCCTCCCAGATAGCACAGAGGATTCAAAATGAATTCAAAAAGAATTCAGTCATATGTCACCAATTCTGAATTCATTATCAGAAAGAATTCTTCAAAGTTCAGTTCAGTGAAAAGAATTCTTTTTGCATCTAAAAATGAACTCAGAATTGGTGACATACGACTGAATTCTTTTTTAATCCTCTATCTCGGCTGGCAGTTTCAACGGCGCGTACGTCGGACATGGCAAATTGTATCCGAGAGGGGGAGATAACGCCGTGGATTTTAGCTCTGTCGTTAAAAATACGGCCGGATTGATCGACTATCTCGAAATAACGATTCGCAGAGGCACGTCGACCAGAAGTCCGCCGTTAATACAACGTAGAGCTCGCACGCGAATAGACGATGATTCTTTCCGAGAGATGGGACATTATGATTGGAGGGGAATCGATTTGTAATTTTATTCCATTCATAGCCGCTATATAAAGCTCCGCACATGCCTATATGTAAGTCCCTTTTGCTCGAAATAGCTAGCGAGCACTGTGTACACATTTCTTGCCTATATCGGTCTATATCGCCTGCATTAAATATTCGCACGCACGAATCGCAAAGACTTATTCGCGCCAAGCGTGTGTTATCAAGTCCGAGAGTGTTCCATTAATCAGATACCAAATTTTGTTAGAATCGATTGGTCGTAATTGTCCGAGATACAATTAATCATATTTCAGGATAATAATAATTTCTCTTCTACTTTCGCGAGAAGAAAGCAGAAATTACCCAGCAACACCAATTTTTTAGAGGTTTGAAAGTATCTGAAAGATGTCTAAAAGAAATAGGACGTTTTTCGAACGCTTTTAAGACACTTTCTGGAAATTTATACTGAGTAGTTACTATAATACTGTGCCAAAGTGTGTCAATATTGATAATGTTCAAATATTAAAAGCTTCTCTGCATAATGTTTTCCAAATATTGAAATATTTCATCGTATTACAAAATAATTGTATATTTATTCCGAACCAGTAGAAATATTGATAATCGATATCCACGCGCCTAAAGTTTTGTACTACCTATTCTCCTATTTTCTTCTACCACTATCATTATTATTATTTCATCGCGGTTGCTGTTGTCTCTCGCATACATACATATCCGGCACGTCGTCTCCGCAAAAGGATTAATACAACAATTTGACGTGAATGGAAGTTATAACCTTCGAGACTCGCTCTCTCGAGTATTCTCGTCTACGTAAGGAAAGAGCGTCCCCAGATAGCACAGAGAATTAAAAAAAAATTCAAAAAGAATTCAGTCGTATGTCACCAATTCTGAGTTCACTTTCAGATGCAAAAAGAATTCTTCAAAAGACAGTGAAAATAATTCTTTTTGCATCTAAAAATGAACTCAGAATTGGTGATATACGTCTGAATTCTTTTTTAATTCTCTGTGCTATCTGGGTCGTCACAAATCGAAAATACTCACTCCGAATTTGATGATTACCAAATAACAATCAGAATGATAGCTCTTGCAATATTACATTATAACGTTCTATAATTACCGTATAATTACTCCCAAATCGCGATGTGACGTCTTGTGGATCCTCGACAAGAGCGAGCGCGCGAATGACTGCGAGTAACTGCTGTTTCAAATTCCCGATCGATAAGCGAGATGGCGGTCGCGCGACTCTCTCGGCCGATAACGCAGAGAACTTATACAGTCGGTAAATTACCACACGAACACGTCGATCAGTTTCCCAGAAATAACGCGTAGCGGCGCCTTGATCGCGAACGAGCGTCTCGCCCCGAGATTCTTCCCCTTCTCTGGTCCACCACCCTCTCGCCTCTTTAAAGCATTATCAAATATTTGTAATCGAAACGTGCCTACATTTGTCGCTTTAATGATGCATCTGGTGCGTCCCTCGTCGGTCTCGTCGCGTGTTTCTCCGCGCAAACACACTTGAGTCACTCGAGGTGCTATGGCGAAGTGGCATTAGCCGCGTCGACGTGTTTTGCGCGGAAATATGCGGTCAGCGACGGGATAGGCGAACAATACGCTCATCGTCGGACGGCTCCTCTCGTTTTGGCTATGTCGTACTTGGTGCGTATACCCGTTTGTTGTCGCGACGCGATAGCCGCTTCTCGCGGCCACGCGAAAACGTCTTCTGTACGTCTCCTTTTTGTTGTCGTACGTCGTAATCATTGTATCGTATTGTTCTACGCGTAATTTTACCTCTTGTTTATTTTGTTACGACATTATCGATGTTATTAGTATTATTGAAGCGATTAACGAAGATCGTAATAAAACATCAATTCCGGGACATGTACTTAATTCTGAATATTCTCATTGTTTTGGTCTTTAATAAATATTTAAATTTTCAAAACGTAGAATATATATTTTTTTTATTTTAAAAGTTTTTAAATATTTGTATTTAAAGACCAAAACAATTGAAATGCCCAGGATTGGGTATATGGACATTGGTACTTTTATTTTACATGTTTTGTCAGTATCTTTAACTTTTCGCTTTTCCTTCTTTTTGTTTTTTCTTTTTATGAGTTTTGTGATGTTAATATGTAAACATCCATCTTGTTGCATAATGAACAATCTAGTAAGATATTTATGTAATTAACAGTTTTGTAAATTATGTATTCATAATTCAGATAAGCAAAGAATGGGTTGCATCAACAGCAGGGTAGATATTAACGATCTGCATCCGAACATCTTTGAAGTTATAAATGTGGATGATGCGGGTAACTCAATCGCTCCTGGACGACTGGAAGTTACTGAAGCAGAACTTATACTGTATCAACGTGGCAAGCAACCCATCTCATGGTCACTGCACTGCTTACGTCGGTATGGCTACGATGCCACTATCTTCAGCTTTGAGTCAGGCAGACGTTGCTTAACTGGCCCTGCCATATATGCCTTCAAGTGCCAGAGAGCTCAACAGTTGTTTAATCTCGTACAGAGGAATATTCAGGTTTGCATCGTTGTGTATGAGTCAACTTACCAGAAATTATTTTACTTGTAACGCACACAGGACTAAAAACATAAAAAAAATATTTTCACCAGATGTTCAGCAACAGTGGAGATGACGCGCTGTCAGACCTCCCACTCGGCTATCATCCTGCTGCACCATTAACCAGTACTAATAGAACATGCAGAATGACAATACCAGAAGAGCCTAATTATTTGGATCCGACACCAACTAGAAATAATAACCGTCTGGGTCCTAGATTTAACCAACATAACGGTGTCGGTAGATTGAGCAGCGTGGGCAGTAGCAGCGTCGGTCCCATGTCACCCCAAGGGACCATGGGACCACCCTCACCGCCCCCTATGCCATTACCGCCATCGATTCCGCATACTCATCCGTCCTCCCTTTATATCAACGAAGAGGTTTGGTCTATCCCCGTGGAAGTGGAACGCAATAATAACAAGAACCTAGGCAACACAGTGCACAGGTAATAAAGTATAAGGAGGAATTCGTATCACCGATCAAGCGTGCCGCTCTAACGCCACCTTCTCACTGTTGCAGATCGCTCACTACCACGCCTGACAACAGCACGGCAACGGCCGACAACAGCACGGCAACGGCCGACAATAGCACGGTAACAGCCGACAACGGTCTCATGGAGACGGAATTGATATCTATTCAGAATAACACGGAGGCCGCCAGCAACCAGGACGCGGCGTCGCAACCGTTGATGGTGCCCTATGTGAACATAGATATCGGCGGCGAGACCAACTCTATCGCGTCGACGCAAAATATCTCCGAGCCGGTCAAGGAGGAGAATAACGACGCGGGTGGATCCGAATCCTCTTCCGAGCACGACTACATGAACATCGGTCCCAGACGGGAATGCATCGCAAACGCCGTCGCTAGAGTGCCGCCACCTCCGTTGCCCGTCTTACCCTTCTTACAGTCGGAGGCGGACGGGGAGGACGGCTCCAAGCACTACTACTCCAATCTGGATCCGAGCGAGATAGAGAGCCTGCGGAACAGATACTCCAGCGCCTCGGTAGCCGAGAAGTCGCCTCTGCTCCCGTCCACGCCGACCGGATGCCCGATCAGGGAGGTGAATTACGCGATCTTGGATCTGGTGGACACGAAGGAAGTGCCCACGATTATCGAAACGTCTGAGAGCGCGACCACGAACCTGGCGCTACTGCCGCCGCAATCTCCGAGCAAGGTGAAGAAAGGCTACGCCACTATAGACTTCAACAAAACGGCCGCTCTCTTGAACTCCACCAATCTCGTGAACGACAATGAGGGCTCCAGAAAGACGCGTCATAACTCCACGATAAACGACCTGGCGGTACAGTACAAGCATAACTTGTCAGTGAGTGAGTAACGTATTTTATACTTGTACGATTACATTCGTAGAACGACAGCGTCTCGCATGATCTACGCGGCGGAAAGGAATGCGCATTGAGAAGGATCGATTTCAGTTCGATTTCCGTATGTGTGTGAATTTCTGGAACTCGTCAAATCTTTTAGTTAGGTCCTCAAACCGTATCTTAGCATATGTTGTAGTTGAATACACCATGAGATATTCTAACGTATGGATTTGTACACATTCTGGTGCATTTCTTATCACACACGCGCGACACAGTATTCGTAAATAGTAAGTCTACTTTTCGGGATGGAATGAAGCGCATAAAAAAAATTTTTTATACGACAATTGTATAGATAAGTTTGTAGTACTCTTTATGCAGAGATTTTTTATATTTAGCATTTTACATATTACGTGGAGGAATTGGAAGCTAAAGTACCCTGATCTTTTTTGCAATTTAATGTAGAAATTAATACGGCTCAAGTGATTGTGACGGATACAAGGTATGGTGCAATGTGAAGAAAGTATGAACAAGTTATCGATCTGATAACATGAATCATAATATAGTGGCTAATTTTAAGTGGTTGTCATGAATTAGTTATTGTGTTAGAAAGATAATTGATATCGAAACAAAAAAAAGTGTAACTTTAATATGAATACTTGTATAACTGAGTAATCACTTAAAGTGAGACCGTAGGTAGCACGTTCGTTTAAGTTTGGTGCGAACAATTCGTAATATTAACGAACAACGTTAGAGCAGATCTGATGCAGGAATGTAAGTTATTGAGCTCCAAAGATTATACACATTCTTGTTCATAATAAATATTTATTATCATTTATCTAATGAGTATCCCTGCATATATATGTCTGCATTACATATATACATACATGCATACATATGTCATGGTATTATTAATGATTCGAGCTGAATTAGGCAGCTTTTTCTTCCAATAGTTCTTTTAATCAGCAGCTAATGAAATTGCAATACATCCAAGATGTAAATATGCACCAATATTCTTTCTTATGGATAAGCGAGTATGTTATATATGTTAAGTTCATAATCGTGAATCGTAGGATAGTCTGATATCTCCCGGGTAACCTACACATCATGCGGCCTATTCACAGACTACATGTCTAGTGCGCGTCATGTACCGCCAAAACAACATGTATCGAAATCAATTGTTCTTTGCTTCAAATAATCGTTAATCGTTATGGAAAAATAGATTTTAATCCTTGGTTTGCACACGCGTTGAGACGCGATGTAGTGATCAAAGGTAAACAAAAAAATACATATTTACGCGCATTCTATGTTATTGATAATGTGTATTTAGAAGATATAGAGACAGCTGAATAGAAGTTTATTTATCAGTGATATCAAGATATCTTTCATAACATACACGCGTATATACGATTACATCTGTGGGCGTGTGTAAAGAAATGTAGAAAACGTTGTCCACATATGTATGCCAGTATGTTATTTCTTTGATGTAGTTTGCATTTCAGTTTTCGTTAGCGAAAACTCGATCTGAGCCTGATATTAAATTTAGCATGGGCTATTAAGTCGCAAGAACAGATTAGAATTGTAAGGAAGTTTCGTCAAGGCAAAGCCTAACTTTCTCACAAAATGAACTTGTATCGTTAGTATATATTTTTGTGCGAACGTCACATTAGATACTATATATCGTTTTTGTAAAATCAAAAGTAGAAACGGATTCTATATGTACGTCCTTAGATTGTAATTGGACTTTCCGCTTATACTTTTGATTCTATAGAATCTTTAAATGTTTATTACTTTTTGTCAAAAGTTTTTTTTTTTACGTTATAGCGACGATAAGCGATATTAGTTACTGTGAAAGTAACATATCTTTAAGAGGTGATCAAAAATACCAAATTTTACTTAGACATATTATATAATTAATTTTACATATACGCACCTGTCTTCTTTTTGCGTTTCTCTGTACATTTATAATAGAGAAGTGTACTGTGAAAACATGCTACATGTACACTTTTCATAGTATAATTTTCTATTATAAATGTACATGTAACATATACATTTTCCATAATATAATTCTTTATTATGAAAAATGTTATGTTATTCATGTTAATAGAAGAAGCATTCTTTCTGAAAAAGAGACAAAAATTAATCACGTTATTGAAAAGAGAGTGACTCAATTTTTCTGAAACATTAACGAAACATGGACGGATGGCATATATTAATGTGATATATATTCGTGGAATTCTAACATTAAATATACACCACAAACTCACGTATAGTCGTGGGCGGAAAAGTTGTCTGTAATTTTTGGGGTAAGTTTGTGTACTTATCCGTTTTCTCCAATGAGCAAGAATTCGTCTTTCAATGGAAGAATTCTCCCACTGGACAAAACGGATGTATTCCGAAACTTACACGAAATATAGCGGATAATCCTTCTGTTCACGAGCGTATGTATATTTGCCAAATTAATGTATTGTAAGGTCTCCATCTCTCTCTTTAGTAGCCATGTGTGCGAAAAGAATGTAGGCCTATATACTTTGTAGTAAATATTGCACACACAATACATAGCGTATATATGCCGTATGTATTAACGCGCATAGCATTCTTTGTTACATATCTATGCCTTAAAATTAAAAAAATGATTACAGAACGTACACGACGAATAATAATGTGCAATGTTTGGCATAGATAAAATTTTGTTCTGTCTATATATTATTGCAAGTATGAAAAAGGAAAGACAAATTGGATATACTCGGCCTGTCGATGAATCTTTTCCTAAACTGTTAAATATGCTAATCTCTTTTTTATTCGCGTATCGATTCTTTATATTTTATATATATATTACTACGATATATCTCTTACCTTTGGCCTACATGATTCTAAATGAAATGGTCTCGACAGTGCTCAATATGTTAAATATGAATGCATATTGTAAAAATGTACAATTATATATCCAAAGAATACGTTTCTTTTGTAAGAACATACATAGCTTTTAAGGTATTTTAGTTAAATTAGATAAAACGTAAAATTGGACTTCCTATAATAATGATATTCTTAGAGTCATTCGTCGAGCTTTACACGAGCAATTTTGATAACGCAGTCCATACGTTTTTCCTTGTGCCAGGATTATCTTTTGTAACTGATGATTTAGTGATGATACAGTTAAGGATTTTTGAAAGTTTAGGAACACACATACTAACTATAAACTGTTGTAATAAAAAAAAATGTTACACAAAAGAGGAGGATGTGTGTGCGATCGAGCGCTTCCTACGAGATTGTAGAACGTGTGAATCAGTTTTCGCGAATACGAGTAAAACGTGCCAAAAAAAAAGATAAAAGAGGAAAAAGTAACGTTCTGAAGTTCTGAGCTATGAGTTTAGATTTTTGTGCTAACCGCGCGAGCGTGCAAAATGAATATGCAATACAGAAACAGTCTGCACTATCATATATATATCGTATACATCGAAACGTGTGTATAAACGTATGTGTATCATATATGTACATACATATATATATATATATATATATATATATATATATATATATGTATGTGTGTGTATATGTATATATATCGTATCATACGCGTATACTCTAGTTATGTGTAATACCCTAAGAGCTTCTTATTAAGTAGACCACGAGAAATGGAAACGTGTCTCAGCGTTCATTCGTATGACAGTATTATGTATGCGCCCGGCACGTGCGTATTTTCCGATTCTTCCCTTTGAATTTCATGCAACCATCGATAGAAGTCTTCAGAATTTGTTAGAAATACTAACGCTTTACGTTAGACGTTAACACTATTTTAAATATTACACGAGCTGACATTTTTACGCGTATCCCCGTTTTGGTGGAGATTTCCCCGAATTTTTTATATATGACTGCGATGCAATGAGTTCTAAATCGACTGCGCGGCACCAATTTGGAAAAAAAAGAAAAATTCTCGATGGCTGTTGCGATGAATATTGTGTTGCAATTGATGTGCCGTTTGTAAGGCAAACATCAATGTTATCGCGAAGCATGCTTACGATTTTTTTTATGTTATTAATCGATAATCCCATAATGGGCAGACTAGAAAGCTTATATGAAAGATAGGGAGACGTATTTATTTTTATACTGTGTCTTCTCGATGTTGAAAAACAAGCAGAATGTAGTGAATCGCATCATGTACATTATACGATCGTTATATATTTATTTCGTAATTCTAAAAACACAGCCTTTCAGATATGTCATCTGAGAGTTTGAAAGAAATCATCAGAATTCCGTTTACGGCATAGTTGTACATAATATAGATGCCACAAAAGTATGCTCCCGATTTATTCCGTTTTCAGTTCATTTCAGGTCATGGATTTATAAAATATACAATAATGTTATGAGAACTCGCAGCGTGTCTCAATTTTATTACACCTCCGTATTTTCCTTGCATCTCGGACAAATCATGTCAATAACAAGTAAACGTGTAACTATAAAACATCAATAGCAATAATATTAATAATCACGATAAGATTACGGTAGCGACAACAGCGAGAACAAAACGACAATGGCGATAACGATATAAAAATTTATTTGCGACAATGTGCCTTTACACACACGTACACATACATTTGTACGTGTATGTATTCTAAATCGTAAAGTATCGCCAGTCTTCTAAATTAAGTGCACTTCGGTCCACAGCCAAAATTTATGGCATCAACGATTTTCGTTCATTATTATTACTATAATGCTCGCGATTGCACATCAATTTCGCACAATGAGCTATACGTATCGCGATATTGAGCAACGAGTGTGTAGCATTGTACGCAGTAATTCTTAATAGTAATACCGGGAACCAAACGTTCCGGGCAAGTGAGTTATTTCGAAGTCGGATTAGGCGGCGAGTTGTCGACGTCTGGTCAACTCGTGGTTCACGAGGAGCGAGATATCAGGATGTTGACGCAAGATGGTCGCACAATAGTGCATGATCTGACTGGGATCAGCGCCGGCTTTCAGCAGTATCTTCACGGAATTGATGAATCTGCTCTCGGTGGCGACCTGCAGCGCGGTCAGTCCGTCGATATTGACATTCTCCAGTTGCGCTAACGGCGAGGTGACCAACAACGACACGGTCTGATGGAATCCGCGGGCGGCTGCCAAGTGCAACGGGGTATTCCCGCCCGCGTCTTGCGCGCCTGGATCTTCCTCGTGGGCCAGCAGTTGCGTCACCATGTTGACGTAGTTCTTCCGTGACGCGATGTGCAGCGGCGTCTCGCCGTAGCGCGACGTGATGCCGGCTGGGGTGTGCGGTATCAGAAGTTCCGCCGTATTCAGCGCGCCGCATTCCAGGCTTTCGTGCAGAGGCGTTTCACCGCGGTCGTTCTTCAGGGCGGTGTCCGCGCCGGCATCCAACAGCGTCACGATTAACGACTCGATGTGGGTTTTGTCGTTGTTATCTGCCAAATTAAGCGGAATTAGCGTCTCACCGCGGTTAAACAGCGGGTGATCGCCGGCGACAATTGCGACATTGGGAAAAACGTCCTATTGTTCGAAGAAGTCACGCGCAAAGTTTGCTCAGTCAAAAAACACGCGGATGCTGTTTCCGAGTAATCAACAAGTCGATTGCGCGGTATTAACAAATCACGAAAAAGACTCAAATGAAACACACGAGATACTTAACGCACGAGGTTTCTCTTTAGCTGCGCGATAAGCGTAATTGTTATTTGATATTCCAACTTGATTATGTTATCTTATAAATTAATATATGATTTCTTATATCAAAATTAATTATTTCAAAATATATCTTCAATTTGTATCGTATCGGTATCGTTATACCGTATTTGTATCGTAGATAAGATATGCAAAGTACTGGACTACCATGACTTGGAATGTCTTTTCTACTATTAATACTTTTCAAAGTAGAACAATAGATAATATTGCTGCTCGTGTATGATAATTGAAGAATATATAATCGATAATCGGATTGTCATACCGAAGATCACCGACGAGGCCAGGATGTGCAAGGGGCTTCGGCCCTGGTGATCCTTGACGTTGACTAGCCCTGCCTTCGCCAGCAATTCCAGCGTTTTTAGGGCCACGTCGAAATTGTGATGAAGGGATTTCAGCGGCGTGTGAGCGAGCTGACGGGAGAGCACGTGCAGTGCAGTCGAGCCGCTGCCGGCTACTTTAACGTTCGGGGGGCAGCCGTGCTTCAGGAGGTCCTCTACAAATTTCAACACATTGCTCGGCCCACCGTTCTGAATCACTCTGTGCAGCGCCGTTTCACCGCGCGGCGAACGCACAGCTGGGTCGCATCCATTCGCTAGTAACGTGCTGTAACAAAAAGTCCGAAGTTAATTGAAAGAGTATCGTAGAGAAGAGAATTGATGCGTCTATTGGGACAATCATTGAAGCATTGGACGCGTTTATCACGACTATCATTAAGGACTATCATTAGGAGCTATTATAATAATAACGTGATTATTAGCTACTAATCTATTGTGCTATTTGTGTTATCGTTAGTAGAATATGAGTCACTAAGCCGTGAAATAATACTGTAGCGCAAGCAACATTTTTAGCTATTTTTACGACATATTTGCTCAAAAGATATTTTTGCCGTGCAGTATATCGCGGAGAATAGTAGAAAATAGTAGAAAAGTAGTTAATAGTAGAAAAGACATTCCAAGTCATGGTAGTCCAGTACTTTGCATATCTTATCTTATCTTATCTTGCATATTTTATCTACGATACAAATACGGTATAACGATACCGATACGGTACAAATTGAAGATATATTTTGAAATAATTAATTTTGATATAAGAAATCATATATTAATTTATAAGATAACATAATCAAGTTGGAATATCAAATAACAATTACGCTTATCGCGCAACTAAAGAGAAACCTCGTGCGTTAAGTATCTCGTGTGTTTCATTTGAGTCTTTTCCGTGGTTTGTTAATACCGCGCAATCGACTTGTTGATTACTCGGAAACAGCATCCGCGTGTTTTTTGACTGAGCAAACTTTGCGCGTGACTTCTTCGAACAATAGGACGTTTTTCCCAATGTCGCAATTGTCGCCGGCGATCACCCGCTGTTTAACCGCGGTGAGACGCTAATTCCGCTTAATTTGGCAGATAACAACGACAAAACCCACATCGAGTCGTTCCCCTTGAAGGAGAAATATTTCGGATAGGAATTTCGCGAGTCGAACTGAATGTCTCCTTATATGACACGATTGTACAATATATAAATACGGAAAATACAATATATAAATAAGGAAAGAGAATTTAAAAGTGAAATACTTCCCGATATATCATGATAAATCAGAAATTACCCGTGTAATCGTTTTTATAGGAGTTTTTATAGGAGTTTCGCGAGTTTTTCAATGTGTAAATAGTCGTGTAATGATATCTCGAATAGTATAGATCTATAATCGATATTCCTGAGTATTGAAATGCATCACAACTAGTTGATGATTTTTAATATGCTCTTTGCTCCCAGTTTCTTTCCCTCTTTATCTCTTTCTTAAAAGTCAGAAAAAAATAGAGAACGAAAAATAGGAAGCGAAGAGCACACTGTAGATTAGGCTTGAAAGTTCATTGTTACAAATGTTGTAGAAGCAAAAATTCGTGTAAGAGATACGCGGCCTTGTCGGAACGAGAAACTACGACCTTAGTTAGTTACTCTCACGGCTGTGAGAGAATTTACCTGAGCACAGGTAGGCACTGGTTCGTGGCTGCCACTAATAGGGGTGGATCGCCCGACACATTCCAATCCGGTTCGTCCAGGTTCTGCACGCAGCCGCTGGCGATTAACGCCGAGACATGTTTGACGTTTCCCGACCGTACGGCGTCGTAGAAATCGTAGGAGTCGCTCTGACCACCTTGAACGATCTCATCTTGCACCTCGTCCGGACAAAGCTCCTCCACGATTTCGCAGCGAGCTCGCATGCCTGCCACGTGCGAGTCGCGCGGATTCTTCTCGACGCGGACGTCGTCCCACGTGCGTCGCTCTTGCGTCCGTGTCTCCGGTATGTTCTGACTCCTTTGATCCTGCTCCTTTCTCGAACTGCACGTGACCGCTATCTCCGGTGCGATACTCGCTGATAACGTTGAGACCGATTCCCTCCTCTCGCTGTGTCGTTCATCTTCCTCCACGGAAGAAGATCCTTTGTTCCTGGATCTATCCATTCGCGAAGTGTCACTGGTCTCATTTAACGAGTTCGCGAAATAATCTAGATCCGCTTCGTGATTATCTTCATCGTCGTCTTTCTCGCGTCCCTCCGTCGTTCCCGGCGTCTCCTCGTCGTGCACGCTCGTGGGATTCTCGTCAAATGATTCGCCGGGTAGAATGCTGATTTCCGCCGAAGAGACCGCGAGGAGCTCCTCGCCGGCGGAATCACCTGTTGCGAGACTCGTGCGCGACGACGAACTCTCTTCCATGTCGGCAGCAATCTCCAGATCGTTGTGCAGCTCTTGATCGACAATGAAACCGGGCTTCGAGGCGCCGCGCGGAGTAGTCGCCTTCTGCTCGCGCTCCGGCGTAGCCTCGTCGTACGCGGAAGTCATTGCACGCACCCTGTCCTCAATTGGCCTCGATTACTCACTCGTGCAATAACTGGCTCGGCGCTTTCCACGCGGAACGATACGCGCGAATGTACGGCGCGCGCGTAATTAGACCGCCGAGGAATTCCGCTTTCGCCAGCACGATCGGGCTGCGTGCGATTGTTGTCGCAATCTCGAAGCCTCGCGCTGCAATTCGTGCTATGAGGGGAAGGCACGCAAGCGAGGCACGAGGCCAATAGAATACGCAGACCTGCGGCGGTTCGACTGTCGACTGTAAACGAGAAACCGAAGCGGCTCGCGGCAATCACGCACCGGCGTTTTACGATGCCTCACTGTCGTTGCCGCATCACGCTCGCTTCGACTTCTCCTCTTCTTCCTTTTCCAATACTCCTCCTCCTCACTCTACTTCTCTTCCACTCCGCTTCTTTTTGTTTGGCTGCTTCCACCACTCCGCGTCACTCCGCGTGACGCTCCGTGTTTCGCGTTGCAGCGCGTTTCATTCGTTTCGTTTCCTTAGTTGCTTCTACTCCACTTCCCTCGCTAGTGTGCTCCTTAATCCCCCTCGGGCCTCGAGCCATAGGTGTCGAGCCGTTGGAATTTAGGACGGTCGCACCGGCGAATGGTCAATGAATATTCCGCGTTCCTATGCACATGCACCTCCTGTAAAATGATAGAATTGCATTGCTCTGAAGTTGAACGCACGTTGCCATTAATTGATGTCACCCCTTGCGCCAATTACATCAAGCCAATTAAACTCATGGCAGATAGACCATCTATATTCCGAGTCAACAGAGATTTTGGTCGTGTTTATTAATATTCTTAACATGTTCTCTTTAATTCTGGTTTTTAGTTATCTTGATATCTGTTTTGACATAGAAAATATGTGTAATCTTTACAAAACAATTTTTATAAACTGCATTACTTCTGGAAGCAATAAGCAAACACTTTATATCTATCCTGAAGATTTCCTTTGTTATCTCCTTTGAGAGATAACTGAGGGTCTTTCTTGTCCAACAGAATTAGTCTAATAGAAAGAGTAGTTAAGAGATATCATGAAAAACCATGTCGCATGTCTGTTATACGACATAAATATTTTACTTGTTACGAGTTCAATCGAGACAATGTAATTGACGTAATGTGATACTGACTAATAACTGCAATTTCAGAACTAAAATTGACAGCTCTACAAATGCTGTTCCATCACACGGGACAACTAAGATTTATAAATTATTATAATTTTTTATATTTTAATATATTAATATTTTAATTATTTGGGGTTATTAAAATCTAAAGATCGTCAGGACAACTACGGAAGATCACAACTCACCTACTAGCCGATCGGCGAGAGGCTCACTTCGTAACTACCACCAGCTTACCACCTGAGTACAACAATTCGACGAGACCATTCACGAACTCCTATTTGTAACACAGAATCTACATAAATATCTGTTATTTTATACAAATCTGTTATTTTGACTTTACCTTTAACATCACTTTGAACCGTTGAGATTTACACGACCACAAGAGAGGATAATCTATCGTCCAAAACATCGATGTCCGGTTATTTGTTAAATAATTTATCGCTTATTACAATACATGATAGCTGAGCACTGATAACACTCTGGCAAGATTCTTATACCACTTCTTCTTGCATTTAAATTGAATATGATCCAATAAAATTTTTATCACCCGGCGCATCCTTCCTGCACTCTTGGAATATAACACGAACCGAATATAACACGGATCGAACCACCGGTCTCTACGCCTATTAACTCGTCCGCCATCAAGTAACAATGACGCAAAAAAGCTTCAAGAGAGAAGAAAAGCCGGCGACGCCACGTTGATCGCGATTAGACACGCAGATGTGTTCCGAGCGGGAGGAGGAGACTGAGAACTTTTGCGCCGCTCAAACTGCGTACGCGCACTTGTTCCATAGGAGCCTGGGATTTCGGCGAGAGACGACGGGGACACACGTTGACGAGTGTACGATCAATCGAACACATATGTTCGAAAAGCTACAATTTTATTGAACATCAAGATACATTATAATTCTCTTTGAAAATAGCGACGAAACATCAGCGGGAAGCTTTAGATAAAGAAAAAAATTCACGTAGTCGAAAATGAATATTGTGTGATGTAAGTGTCCTTCTTCTTGCGGCACGAAATCACAATCCCTTATATTCTAAGACATTACATGCATTTGCATGACAAAAAAAAGAAAAGACCAATGGCTTTTGTATGCGCCAAGTGATAGATCTGCCTCCAATCGATCGAACTTTAATCGTTAATCGTAGATTTCTAATTGTCGATGAAATCCATCGACATCAATCAACCACATCCATCTGAAAGAGAAACTAGCGATAATATAATATTGGATGCTATACCGCGTTTGTGTGTTCAGAAGATCGTAAATAACGGTATTATTGATACACGTATGCATACTCACCGTTTATCTGCTGCGCGATCTAGAACCTGATCGAGACTTCGATCTGCTACGGTCTTTAGAACCGGACTTCCGTTTGTTGCGATACTTATCCCTAGCATGGCCGCTTCTGCTGCGAGAACGGCTGCGCGAGGACGAACGTGAGCGAGATCTTGAGCGAGAACGTGAACGAGATCGCGATCTCGATCTCGAGCGAGACCTAAAGTAAAGATCATAATAAATAGAAGCGTTAAAGTAATGGCCATGCGTTATAATAAAGATAACTTTGTTTGTTCACTACTACAGAACACGAAACACGTTTTGCAGTTATATACTTTAGAAGGCAAGATTAGATAATAATGTGATTTTGTCTTTAAGCCACGGAGAAATAGTCCCAAACTTATTCATAGCTTCCCATTTTTATCAATACTGATAAAACTAGCGTCCTTTTGTGGACGCATACCTACTGCACATACCTACCAAGCCTGCAAAAAATGCTCAGAAAAATATACTGAAAATATGCTGAATGTAGTTGTGTCGCGTTTCGATATTAAGAATCCTGATTAGTCACCGTGGTTAAATTGAATTATGATGCTAGAAACGAGAAATAATGCAAGATTTCCCGTTTCTGATATCATAGCCTAACGGACCATTTAAAGTAACTGACCACAAGTCTCTTGTAATCGTAAGATTCTTGTAATCGCAAATTATTACGTAGTGCAACAAATATATAATATAGTTACCTAATTTTCTAACATGTAAATTGTCAAGTTGTGTTCCTATATGTTACAAAATATTATAGTGCTAGTCGAGTTAATTGTTAAAACACACATGTACTTTGAATTGCATAATCTAACGTGAAAGTGCAAACCTTTCGGATATGCCCGTCTAACTGCCCGCGAATATACAAAGCGTTAAAAGAACACCCGGGGCTAAAGAGATCCTTGAAATTTGGCCCTGACATTTTCTTAACATCCCCATATAGACGCGTGACTATGCTGCTTTCACGCATAATGCGTGCGATTTGTACGTTTAAAATACGCTCAACCACTGCCACTATAATCGAATTACGTTAATTCCACGTAGAATATATATTTGACTATTTGATTTATATACCATCTTCCGCGGCCGCTTATAGCAGACAATCGTGGAGCACGCGATGCGGCTATGCGCCGGGAAGAGAGGAGCGGATGAGCACTTTATGCAGATGAAATCACGAGAGAGTCGGGTGAACGGACGAAAAGTGGCTAAACAGGGCCGCTGAAAAGTTTGTCTCTCAGTGGCCAGTTAGGTACTACGACGATGACGACGATGACGACGAAGACGACGACGACGACGACGACCAGGACGACGACCACGACGACGATGATGATGATGATGACGACGACGACGACGACGACGACGATGACGACCATGACGACGACGATTATCGCAGAAATCACGGATAGCTGAACGAAGTACGCCAGAAGTGTGCCGACGTGCATAAACTCTCGGTCTAGGGTGATGCTCAGCGGATCGGTACCGTAGTGCCCAGAACTAGCCGGCTCGCGCGTGTTTTTGCCGTTTCTCGCTCTCGCAGAATGTGCAGAGGGAAACCCCAAAGTAGGTGGGTGCTCTACGCTGTAACTACGCGGTGTGTGTCACAAAGTGAACCCAAGGCGAATCTCGCGACAATGTCGGCAGCGACACACACATTTCTCAATGCGTATGCCTGCGATCAGCCGCAACTCCTATAAATAACGGGCAGTATTACGTTGGCGTTATTTTCTGCTGCTCTATAACCAGTTTTTTTTTATGTTTGTAGGAATGCTTTCTTTTAATCATGAAATATTTTAGACTAATTTATGTTGTTATTTAAATAAAAATAATGTGCAACCTGCACATCTTTTCTTTCTTTTCAATATTGTATAACTTGACACAATAACTGCAATATTATCACATTTCAGTAAATACATCTCTTGTCTGACTTAATTCATAACACCATCTTATCTTAGATATAGTTGTATTTGCCTCCTAAATATTAAGTACCAGATAATTAATGAAATACTTACTAAAAACCTAAGTCTAAGTATGACTGGTGATTTAAAGAAAATAGAATCATTATGATGCAATAATCTCATACAAGTATCTTAGTATCTGTATCTTAGTTTGCACAAGATATAAAAGTATTATTTTTTGTAACTTTTTCATAACCTTCTGATTTTCCTATTTTGGAGGATAATTCCTTATAAAACATGCAGGGAGAAAGAAACTTGCACATAATATAGTTCGATCTTTTTGAGTAATCTTTAAATATATATGTACTTGATACATATCCAAATTTCAGACATCTTATATTTTATATACTATGACTTCCAAATATAAAATATACTACAATTTATTAATTCTATTTAACGAAACATTTCTAAGACTCACCTCTTTCTGCGTGAACTCCTATGACGGGGACAGTCTCTAGCATAGTGGCCTCTCTCACCACATTCGTAACATCTGTCTTCTGGATGGAAAGCCCTTGCAGCACCTCTTCTCATGGAACCCCTGTCTCTTAATCTTTTTCCATTAGATAACTCCACACGAGCACGTCTCCCACATATAGTACGACCATCCAGCCCTCTTACTGCATCTTCAGCATCTCTAGGGTCTTCAAATTCAACAAAGGCAAATCCAGGAGGATGTCGAGCAACCCAGACATTTCGCAAAGATCCATAGTAGGAGAATGCATCTTCCAGTTCTTGTTTACTAGCATTACTTCCTAGATCTCCCACATAGACTTTGCCATCGGAATGATAACGTGACATCTAACATACAACAAACACACATCTAATATGCATCTAATAAACATATATAATAAAGTTAAAGAAGAAAAACTGAAAAACAGAACTGATATACTATGTATTATAAAGGTAAAATAGAAATAACTCGATATCCTTCCATTATTTGGATATTTAATTTTGGAAAAAATATTTATCTCGCATTTCATGGAATTAAACATGTTTTTTCTTTTTTTACGAATAAATTATCTCAAAGAATGGTTAGTCGTTCATATTGAAACGCCAATAAGACTCCGTAAGGACATTTTGTTACATTAAAAGTATATTGAATCTCTTTATATATAATATAAAGAATTTCGTACCTTTTTTACTTTATCCAGCTTATTAATTGCTTTTGAACGCAACGTCTACAAAAAATGCTGACACTGTATCATATTTTCTGGAAAATATTATACGGTTGTTCGCGATAACTTTTTAGACATATTGATTCGAGAAACAAATTATAAATTGATTAGAAACCGCTCTCGTAAAGGCAATCTTTCAATAGTATTTTTGCTACGATGTTTATGAAAAATGTCCACCAATATCCATTTGGTGCTGTTCAATGTCCGACCAATCTTAGTGATGTCGTCAACGGAATAGACACGGGGTGTTCTGTTCTGTTCTGTAATGGCTCCGGGGGAAAAGGTTATCCCCATACACCATTCTCAATAGACACGGGGTGCTTCCCAGCGTACACTGTATTAAGGCTTGTATCCATGATGCTAGAAATCGGCCCGACATCTCGATCCGAAAAACGTGTAATCAATAAAATTGTCACCTTTCCATAAAAGCTATAAATGGATTGATTGCTTTTTTCTCGAATCTAGATCTCGGGCCGATTTCTAGCATCGTGGACACAAATCCTTAGAAATTGATCAATCACAGTGGAATTATAGAGGAATAATCAATTGTGATTGGTTAATTTCTTACGGTTTAAAGCCCGTATCAGACTATAGATTAGGATTGAGATTAAATTGAAATTTAGCCAATCAGAGCAAAATTCACTAAGCTTAAGTTTGGTGAACTTTGCTCTGATTGGCCAATTTTTAATTCAATCTCAATCTTAATCCGTAGTTTGATACGAGCTTAAAGACATACAAGAACTCGCATTTATTGAGACACCAACTGTTATGGATATCATTTGTAAATACTTATAGCGTGTTCGACTGGCCTTGGGTTAATCGCTCCGAGAGCGATTAATGACGTCATAAGTCTCTACTAGCCAATCATAAAGCTTATAAGTACTTGTTCGACCAATAAACGTAAGCTGAATAACCCAGAGTGGGTTAACCCACTCGAACCAGAGCCAGTCGAACATGCTATTAAAGAACTTGGAGATCAGTATTTGAATCTCGCAGTCATTAGTTCAATGGCTTAAGTTGATCTATTTTTTTTTCTGCTGCATTGCTGAACTGGTGCAATAAGTTAGAATGAGAAAAGATATATACTTGTCTCACTTTGACCTGGTTTACATCGTGCACTTGATACGCGTACTAAATAGTAACTTTCTATTAGATAATCTTAATATCAACAATGCATATCAACAGCGACGCATTCTATCAATACAATACGTTTTGTTTATGAGTATTATACTAGCTTAATATACCGTTGTTTATATCGTTGATATTAAGATTATCTAATAGAAAGTTACTATTACGCGTATCAAGTGCACGATGTAAACTAAGCCATTATCTAATAGAAAGTTACTATTTAGTACGCGTATAAAGTGCACGATGTAAACTAGGCCTCTATCCGGAGCCAAATCAAGGCTGCGTTCCGAAATTCACTGTCAGTGCTGAAATTCTATAGTATACGTAACATAGGGTGCGTTCCGTTCCACGCATGATGCGCATGAAACGCAGCGTTAGAGTGACAGAGATACGAGAGTGAGATAAAAAGAGAGGGAGAGCACTCGGGTGAGGTTGTCGAATCTAGGTTAGGTTAGTTCTCGACGCATGAGATCGCATGGACTGCACTACCGAGTGTATGAAGTTGGCACCCCACTTTTTGAGAGTGTATGAAGTTGGCACCCCACTTTTTGAAATTTATAATTTTGAAAGTTGTTCCAGATTGTTCTGACTTTGTACCACATTGTTCCAAAGTGATATTGCTTCATTCGAAACGGTTTTCGAATAAAACAAAAAAAATGATTTTTTGAGCTGGCACCCCACTTTTCGAAAATCGAACATTCTGATACCGCAATAGATTGTTCTAGTTGTTCCAAACATTGTTCCAAAAGGACAAATCCGTAAGTTGAATTATAAGTCCAAAAAATGAAAAAAATGTTTTTGACCTGGCACCCCATTTTTTGAAAATAAAGCATTCCGATACCGATATAGATTGTTCTAGTTGTTCCAAACATTGTTCCAAAAGCACAAATCAATAAGTTTAATTATAAGCCCGAAAAATTAAAAAAAAGTTTTTTGACAAACAGTCTATCGGACCAAGAGTAAACTTATACTATCTTTCTTATTCCAACCGAGATCTTTTTGTTCTGAGTTGTTCTAGGCTTAAGAATTATAGTTCTAGAGTATGAGACTCATAAGATCATTCGTTCTCCGAAAATTCGTAAAAAAATCGATTTGACAATACATGTTTGGAACAACTAGAACAATCTATTGCGGTATTAGAATGTTCGATTTTCGAAAAGTGGGATGCCAGCTCAAAAAATTATTTTTTTTTGTTTTATTCGAAAACCGTTTCGAATGAAGCAATATCACTTTGGAACAAAGTCAGAACAATCTGGAACAACTTTCAAAATTATAAATTTTAAAAAGTGGGGTGCCAACTTCATACACTCTGCACTACCTCGGAGCTGAGGAAGTTCATGCGTTCGAAAACTAACCTAACCTATGTTCGAGAACCCACCCAAGTGCTCTCCCTCTCATTTTATCTTACTTTCGTATCTCTGTCACTCTAACGTTGCGCTTCATGCGCATTAGGGTGCTATTTTACATGTCGTACGATAAGCTTTTCGGATACGTTTATTGGTTGGCGAATAGAGTATTTCTAGATTC